TAAAATAAAAATTAGAAAATAAAGAAAAGGAAAAAACTTTCTGTTAATGTGTCACCTTTGTGGGTTATCTCAGCTAGATCTTCTGGATAACTTGTATTAGCGTCTACGTCAGGGCTCGGCTACTGCTGTACCTTGTACTTTTGTGTTACGGCGTGACTTCTTAAACCTCATGAACCAGCCTCTGCTAGTTTCCAGCTTTTCTTCTGCAGCTTCTTCACCTCTCCCAGCATTCATAGAATTGAAGAGAATTAGGGCCTGACTCTGGATTAGGCTTTGGCTTAAGGGAACGTTGTGGCTGGTTTGATCTTCTTGCCAGTGCACTAAAACTTTCTCCATAATCGCATTCACAGCTTGACTAACCGTTAAAAGCAAGAGGCCTAGCTTTCAGCCCATCTTGGTTTTCAGTGTGCCTTCCTCATTAAGCTTAATTATTTCTAGCTTTTTATTTAAAATGAGAGACGTGTGACTCCTCCTTTCAGTTGAACACTTAGATGTTCAACACTTACTCAACTAAAAGAGAAAAATGGGAGAACAGCCAGTCTGTGGAACAGTCAGAACACACACAGCATTTACTGATTAAGTTTGCCATCTTCTGAGTACAGTTCATGGTGCCTCAAAACAAAATAGTAACATCAGAGATCATTAATCACTGATTATCATAATGGATATAATAATGATGAAAAAGTTTGAAATACTGTAAGAATTACCAAAATGTGACACAAAGTGAGGACATGTTGTTGGAAAAATGATACCATTAGGCTTGCTTACTACAGGGTTACCACAAACCTTTGGTTTGACTTTGTTTTTTGAGACAGTCTCGCTCTTGTCACCCAGGCTGGAGTGTAGTGGTGCGATTTCAGCTCACTGAAACCTCTGCCTCCTGGGTTCAAGTGATCCTCCTGCCTCAGCCTCCCAGATAGTTGGGATTGTAGGCATGTGCCACAACACCCGAACAGGGTTTCACCATGTTGGCCAGGCTGGACTCAAACTCCTGACCTCAAGTGGTCCGTGTGCCTCAGCTTCCCAAAGTGCTGGGATTACAGGCGTGAGCCACCGTGCCCAGCCTTGTGTTTTTTTTTTTTTTTTTTTTTTTAACACAGTATCTGCAAAGCACAATAAAGCAAAATGTAATAAAATGAGGCATGGCTATACGTTTTGCATTTAGGTGTATAATCAGTTGAGTGGCAGATTTTTTCTACCCTCCCCAACTTACCATGGTGTGCCCAGTTACTACTATCAGTTATATAGTGTTGACTGAAGTACTAAAGACATTGTTACTACAGAGTTAGGGCTTATATTTTGGTGTTCTCTAGCACTCAAGTTTCTAGTCACTCTATCTGAAGATTTTTTTAGAGGTAAATTGGATGGTGAAGTGTGATAAAAATGTTCTAAAGTTGATTATAATGATAGTTGCACAACTCTGAATATACTAAAAATCATTGAATTGTACACTTAGGTTAATTATATTATATGTAAATTATATCTCAGTAAAGTTTTTTTTTTTTTTTTTTTTTTTTTTTTTTTTTTTTTTTTTTTTTTTTTTNCTTTGGATAAGTTTCCTTCTGGAAGTGCAATAAGTGAACCAATAGGTAAGGGTATTTTTATTTTTTTATTATATATATATATTTTTTTACTTTAAGTTCTGGGATACATGTACAGAGTGTGATGGTTTGTTACATAAGTATACATGTGCCATGGTGGTTTGCAGCAGCTATCAGGCCGTCATCTAGGTTTTAAGCCCCACATGCATTAGGTATTTGTCCTAATGCTCTCCCTCCCTTTGTCCCCCATTCCCCAACAGACCCAGGTGTGTGATGTTCCCCTCCCTGTGTCCGTGTGTTCTCATTGCTCAACTCCCACTTACGAGTGAAAACATGCAGTGTTTGGTTTTCTGTTCCTATGTTAGTTGACTGAGAATGATGGCTTCCAGCTTCATCCATTTTCCTGCAAAGGACATGAACTCATTGTTTTTTTATGGCTCCTAAAGCTGTTCTTTAAAAAGGGAGGGAATTAAGAAACATTATGGGTGGCGGTGGGGTGTGGGTGGGGGGCCAAAAAAAAAAAAAAAAAAGTTATCCCAGAATTCAGGAGTTTGCGTTCTGACTTTTCTCGTCTTTAAAAGATGTGTTTCTGTTTACAATCCCCAGCACTTTGAGAGGCTGAGGCAGGAGGATCATTTGAGCCCAGGAGTTTCAGACCAGTCTGGGCAACATAGTGAGACCTTGTCCTTCAAAAATCGAAAAAATTAGCAAAGTGTGGTGCCATGCATCTCTAGCTACTCAGGAGGCTGAGGCGGGGAGGATTGTTTGAGCCCAAGAGTTTAAAACTGCAACGAGCTATCATTGTGCCATTTGCATCCTCGAGTGTTTGAAGCTGCAATGAGCTACGATTGTGCCACTTGCATCCTAGCCTGGGTGACAGAGTGAAACCCTGTCTCTCAAAAATGAAAATGAAAACAGGCTGAGTATGGTGTCTTAGGCCTGTAATCTTAGCACTTTAGGAGGCCGAGGTGGGCGGATCACAAGTCAAGAGATTGAGACCATCCTGGCCAACATAGTGAAACCCCATCTCTACTAAAAGTACAAAAATTAGCCAGTCGTGGTTGTACACACCTGTGGTCCCAGCTACTTGGGAGGCTGAGGCAGAATTGCTTAAACCCGGGAGACGGAGATTATAGTAAGCCAAGATGGGGCCACTACACTCCAGGCTAGCAACAAAGTGAGACACTGTCTCAAAAAAATATACAAATTAATTAATTAATTTAAAAAGTAAAAACAAATATAATGAAGGGTGTGTGTTTCCTTTTTTGCTTTTGTTTTATTTTTGTTTTAAGACAGTCTCACTCTGTCACCCAGCCTGGAATATAGTGATGCGATCTTGGCACACTGCAACCTCCACTTCTGGGTTCAAGTGATTCTCATGCCTCCGCCTCCCAGGTCACTGGGACTACAGGCCTGTGCCATCATGCCTGACTAATATTGTTATTTTTAGTGGAGACAGGGTTTTACCATGTTGGCCAGGCTGGTCTCCAACTCCTGACCTCAAGTGATCCACCCGCCTTGGCCTCCCAAAGTACTGGGATTACAAGCATAAGCCACCTTACCCGGCTCCTGTTTCCTTTTGTTTATTCTTTTTCTTCATTGTAACTGGAAAAGAATATTTATTTATTTATTTTGAGATGGAGTCTCACTCTGTCGTCCAGGCTGGAGTGCAGTGGCGCAATCTCTGCTCACTGCAACCTCCACCTCTCAGGTTCCAGCGATTCTCCTGCTTCAGCCTCCTGAGTAGCTGGGATTACAGGTGCCTGCCACCACACCTGGCTAATTCTTTGTATTTTCAGTAGAGGTGAAATTTCACTATGTTGCCCAAGCTGCTCTCAGACTCCTGGCCTCATGTGATCTGCGCTCCTTGGCCTCTCAAAGTGCTGGGATTACAGGCATGAGCCACCGTGGCCAGCCAAATCTTTTTTATTTACTTATTATTTGTTGAGATGGAGTCTCTCCCTGTTATCCAGGCTGGAGTGCAGTGGCTTAATCTTGGCTCACTGCAGCCTCTGCCTCCTGCGTCCAAGTGATTCTCCTGCCTTGGCCTCCCGAGTAGCTGGGATTATAGGCACCTGCCACCACGCCCAGCTCATTTTTGTATTTTTAGTAGATAGGGCGTTTCACCATGTTGGCCAGGCTGGTCTCGAACTCCTGACCTCAGGTAATCCATCCACCTTGGCCTCCCAAAGTGCTGGGATTACAGGCATGGGCCACCGTGCCTGGCCAGGAAAAGAATCATAATACCCCTTATTTTATTCAAGCACATACATAGTTTTTTATGTAAGAGTACCAATTAATGTTGGTAGTCTTTTCTGTTCAATAACTTGAGTCTATGAATTATTGGACCTCATCTCATGCCTTTGGTGTGGAACTCACATTCTTAGGGAATAGAAAAACTTTTTAAGCACTTCATTTTTACAAATGAAATTGAAACTTGGGAAGATAAAATAGCGTATTAAATATTTGACCTGGTTAACATAAGTAGCAATTTTAACCTGTGTTTCTGTGACTTAAAAGATTTTCTTACTACTTTATCATTGCCATTTCCTACCAGGACAACCCTGGATTTGACAGTGTTGGAGAAAATCTAAATCTAAATCTGCATTCAGATTTTTTTTTCTTGGAGACAGAGCCTCGCTCTATCACTCCAGCTGAAGTTCAGTGGTACAATCAGGCTCACTGCGGCCTCGACCTTCTGGGCTCAAGCAATCCTCCCACCTGATCCTCCCGAGTAGCTGGGACTACAGGCATGTGCCATGAATGCCTGACAAATTTTTAATTTTTTTGTGGAGATGGGGTCTCATCATGTTGCCCAGGCTGGTCTTGAACTCCTAGGCTCGAGCAGTCCTCCCACATTGGCCTCTGGAGGAGCTGGGAATCCAAGTTAAGCCACTATGCCTGGCCTGCATTTAGATTTTGTTAGTGTAAAAAAAAAAATCAGAGTGAAAAGGGAAGATAATGATTAGCTTATCTTTAACCATTTTGCTTCATGAGTAAAGAAAATGTTGCTTCTTATGCTAAGCACCCAAGTGCTTCATTTAAAAAAGCATTGTAAGTATCTTCAGATTTTGAATCTGCAAACCCCCCGTAACATTCAGTTTACCTGTATAACAAACCTGTACGTGTACCCTTGAATGTAAAATAAAAGTTAAAAAAAAATATATTTTGAATCTATATTCATACAGAATTAAGGGCAGATATCAATAGGCCTCACTTACGTAAATTTAAGTTCACTTAAATTGCTGAGGTTGAATGGAGAAATCTCCTTTAATATAAATATTCTAAGACAATATCGGGTAGGACATTAGCTTAGTTAACGTTGAACGTGTGTGTGTGTGTGCGCGCGCGCATGCATGCGCACCTGTGATTCTTAATAACTTTACCATCCCACCTTTTTTTAAAATGGGCTATTTAAGGGACTTTATTTTGATCTTACTTGTATTTTTCTTTCCATAGGATGGATAGAATGACAGAAGATGCTCTTCGCTTGAATCTGTTGAAGCGGAGCTTGGACCCAGCAGATGAACGAGATGATGTCCTGGCAAAGCGACTCAAAATGGAGGGTCATGAGGCCATGGAACGTCTGAAAATGTTGGCATTGCTCAAAAGGAAGGATTTGGCAAATCTTGAGGTGCCACATGAGTTACCCACCAAACAGGATGGCAGTGGTGTCAAGGGCTATGAAGAAAAACTTAATGGGAACCTCAGGCCTCATGGAGACAACAGGACTGCTGGAAGGCCAGGCAAAGAAAACATCAATGATGAGCCTGTGGATATGAGTGCTAGACGGAGGTATGGCTCAGTTCAACTACCTCCAGGGATAGGGTCGTCTCATAAAGCCTGTGAAAATGGAATGAATTCCACTGAGAGGAGGGTGTTTTTCATCCTAAAGATTCTTGAAAGAAGATTTGTCTGTATCATCAAGTTTGACCATAAATTCATTTTATTTCCAAATGAAACCAGGTGCCTCAAAAACTGCTTAGTCTACAGATAATTGTAGTTCTTACTCTTAAGAGAAAAATGGTCATTTCTGGATAAAAGGGGCACTAGAGAGCTGACAGGCCAGATGGAAGTGAGTTAATATATACCTTCACTCTAATCTTCATGGCCATCTTAGGAGGAAAAAAAATAGTCTTTTTGTGAGATAATTCCCGGAGTTTTAGGATCTATTTATTGTGGAGTCCCAGCTTTTATTACATCCAAAAGCTTGGGCCTGTCTTTTCTTGGGTCAGAAAGCAAATTATCTTCGTGTGGGTAAGTCTCTGCATTCTTGCTGCATCTGTACGCCCTTCTCCCAGCTTCCCCGTATACATTTACATTCGTTTGCACATATATGTTACTCTCTCTTTGACTCACACATGCAAACATGTTTTCCCAGGCCTGTGTTTCTGGTGTCTCTCAAGGTCGAGTACTCAAAACTGTAGGGCACACACTAAGGAGAGGTACCTGGGACTGGCCAGTGGTTGAGTCTACCTGTGCAGTGAGTCATAGTATAGCCAACCCTATTTTGGGGGTTTTTTTTTGTTTGTTTTCTTTTATGCTTTTATTGTTGTTTCGTTTTGTTTTTGAGGCAGGGTCTCGCTCTGTTGCCCAGGCTGGAGTGTAGTGACTGGTGTGATCACAGCTCACTATAGCCTTGACCTCCTGGATTCAAGCAGTCTTCCCACTTCAACCCCAACCCTACACCCCACCTCCCTGAGTAGGTAGGACTACAGGCACATCCCACCATGCCTGTCTAATTTTTGTATTTTTTGTAGAAACAGGTTTTTGCCATATTACCCAGGCTGGTCTCGAATTCCTGAGCTCAAGTGATTGTCCCTCCTCAGCCTCCCAAAGTGCTGTGATTACAGGCATGTGCCACTGCACCCAGCCAGTTTTTTTTTTTTTTTAAAAAACAGGGTCTCACTTTGTCACAAAGTCTTGAGTGCAGTGGCATGATTATAGCTCCTTGTAACCCCCAACTCCCAGGCTCAAATTATATTCCTGCCCTAGCCTCCCAAGTAGCTGGAACTACAGGTATGCATCATCACACCCAGCTAATGCTTTTGTAAAGACAGAGTCTCAGTGTTGCCCAGGCTGGTCTCAAATTCCCTGGTCTCAAGCGATCTTCCCACATTGGCCTCCCAAAGTTCTGGGACTACTGGCATGAGCCACCATGCCCAGCTGATAACGCTGGTTTTTTTTTTTTTTTTTTTTTTTTTTTAAGTGTTTTTTTGTTTGTTTGAGACAGAGTTCCACTCTTTTTGCCCACGCTGGAGTGCAGTGGCATGATCTTGGCTCACTGCAACCTCTACCTCCCAGGTTCAATGATTCTCTTGCCTCAGCCTCCTGAGTAGCTGGGATTACAGGTGAGTGCCACCATGCCTAGCTAATTTTATATTTTAAGTAGAGATGGGATGTCACCATGTTGGCCAGGCTGGTCTCAAACTCCTGACCTCAGGTGATCTGCCTACCTTGGCCTCTCAAAGTGCTGGGATTATAGGCATGAGCCACTGCACCCGGCCAACCCTAGTTTTTAAAACATTCAGTTTATAAATAGTTTAGAAACAGCTGATAGCCGTGAGAATTACTTTTCAGTGTTCAGTTGCCCTCCAAATTACCTTGCTGAGTTTGTCATAGGGCTGATCCAAAGCAGAATCTCTTAAGAAACTGGACTGATGGAGAATGAAGAAAGGAATGGTTATAACCTTACATATGTTACTTTTTCTACCTTTTAATGTCTACTTAGTGGTTTTGTCCCAGGATTTTTTTTTTTAAACCACGCTTTACAAGTGAACATTATTCTTGGTAATAATATTAAAAACTCTTAGGAAGTGGTGGCTCATGCCTGTAATCCTAGCACTTTGGGAGGCCAACGCGGGTGGATCACCTGAGGTCAGGAGTTGAGCCAGCCTGGCCAACATGGTGAAACCCCATTTCTACTGAAAATATGAAAAAATTAGCCAGGTGTGGTGGCGTGTGCCTGTGTTCCCAGCTACTGGGAGGCTGAGGCTCAAGAGTTGCTCAAACCTGGGCAGCAGATGTTGCGGTGAGTGGAGATCTCGCCACTGCACTCCATCCTGGGCGACTGAGCAAGACTCCATCTCATTTTAAAAAACCAACAAACAAAAAACTTGTAGAAAACCTCAGGCAGACTCCCTAGAGGTCCTGGAAGAGGAGAAAAATTCTTGTAAGTTACATAGGTAGTGCCAGCAGAATATTAAGTAGATTCATCTCTAGATTGTTTGAAAGAAAAGGTAGTGGGTGAATGAGATCATGAACCTAAGCAACCTACTTGCTTATAATCACCCTTACCTTCTGGAGAAAGTAATTTATCCTACTTCATTGGGAAGAAGGAGTTACAGAAATGTTAGGTAGACTCTTCACATCCCAAATTGAAATAAGTGCATTTTTCTTTGCTTTCCTTCCCTATTCCTCTCCCTTTCCTGACAAGGTCTCTCTGTCACCCTGGCTGGAGTGCAGTGGCATGATCTCCACTCATTGCCATCTCCATCTCCCAGGCTCAAGCAATCCTCCTGCCGCATCCTGTCAAGTAGCTGGGACTACAGACATGTACCACATACCTGGCTAATTTTTTTTGTTTTGTTTTGTTTGTTTGTTTGTTTGTTTGTTTGTTTTGAGACGGAGTTTCGCTCTTGTTACCCAGGCTGGAGTGCAATGGCGCCATCTCGGCTCACCGCAACCTCCGCCTCCTGAGTTCAGGCAATTCTCCTGCCTCAGCCTCCTGAGTAGCTGGGATTACAGGCACACACCACCATGCCCAGCTAATTTTTTGTATTTTTAGTAGAGATGGGGTTTCACCATGCTGACCAGGATGGTCTCGATCTCTTGACCTCGTGATCCACCCACCTCGGCCTCCCAAAGTGCTGGGATTACAGGCTTGAGCCACCGCGCCTGGCTTTTTTTTGTATTTTTAGTAGAGATGAGGAACTATGTCAGCCAGGCTGGTCTCTTAACTCCTGTGATCTGTGATCTGCCTCTCTCGGCCTCCTAAAGTGCTGGGATTACAGGCATGAACCACCATGCCCAGCCCAACATTTTTCTTTTTCTTTTTTTTTTTTTTTTCTTTGAGATGGAGTTTTGCCCTTGTTCCCCAGTACGGAGTACAGTGGCACGATCTCGGCTCACCAGAACCTCCACCTCCTGGGTTCAAGCGATTCTCCTGCCTCAGTCTCCTGAGTAGCTGGGATTACAGGCATGTGCCACCATGCCCAGCTAATTTTGTATTTTTAGTAGTTACGGGGTTTTATACCATGTTGGCCAGGCTGGTATCAAACTCTTGACCTCAGGTGATCCCCTTGCCTCAGCCTCCCAAAATGCTGGGATTACAGGTATGAGCCACCACGCCCAGCCACACCCTAACATTTTTCATAGAAATATTGTTAACACATTTTTTTCCCCTTTTTTTAGTCCCGCTCCTTCTGTAGACATTTTGGTAAGACTTTATTAGTGCTATTGGAATTTTGTAGTACATTGCAGATACATTATATGTTAAAAAGTCAGACTTCCTGAAAACCCAGCAATTTTTAAAGAAATGTTAGTTTGGGATGATCTTTAAAGATTTTTTAAAGAGATCGGGTGTTGCTATGTTGCCCAGGCTGACGTGTATTGGCAATTCACAAGCACTGTCAAAGTGCACCATTTCCTCAAATTCCTGGACTAAGCAGTCTTCCCCACTTGGCTTCCTGAGTAGCTGGGACTGTTAGGCATTGGCCACTACCCAACATGAGATGATCTTTTGAAATACAATCCTTTGGAAGCTTGGGACTCCAATATACTGACAGTTATTTCCACTTAGCCCCAAGATGTTGTATGAAAATGAACAAAACTGGCTGGGCACAGTGGCTGACACCTGTAGTCCCAGCACTTTGGGAGGCTGAGGCAGCAGGATCATCTGAGGTCAGGAGTTTGAGACCACCTTGGCCAACATGGCGAAACCTTGCCTCTACTAAAAATACAAAACTTCGCCAGACATGGTGGTGGGCACCTGTAATTCCAGCTACTTGGAGGGCTGAGGCAGGAGAATCGCTTGAACCTGGGAGGCAGAGGTTGCAGTGAGCAGAGAGTGCACAACTGCACTCCAGCCTGGGCAACAGAGCAAGACCCTGTCTCAAACAAAACAAAAAACAAAACAAAACTGATAGATTCCCAGCAAGGAGAACCATAATTTCTTTGATTGTGATAAAAGAAGGACAGGGCTGGGTGCAGTGGTGTATACCTGTAATCCCACCAGCACTCTTGAGTGCAAGAGTTCAATCAGCCTGGGCAACATAGTGGACCTCATCTCTACCAAGAAAAAATGGGGAAAGAATTTGAAAGCAGAAGGAAGGAAGTTCTTAACCTGATAGCCATGTCATAATTGCCTAAATATTTTATTTTGCCATCAGTTCGGCAAGTTATGATACCTGTGAAATAAGGTATGTATGAAACCAACACTACTAATGTGGAATTCTAGAGAGGGACAGCGGTACTCTGCTTAGTTGTTTTTACTACTGGGATAAGGATTAGGAACTTTATAGCTTCTGGAAATATGCCAGGCTAAGTCACAAGTGATGTCAGCAGCAAATGGGGCTTTTAATAATATATCTCTAATAGGTAGGATTTCATACTTATATACCCCAACTATTGTAATTTATATCTGTGTTTAGGAAAAGGGCAAAATAATTTCTCTCTTGGAATGTTTAACAAATGAGGCCAAAATCGTAGCTCATCAGTTTTTAAATATTGAGGAATGAGTCCGGGCATGGTGGCTCATGCCTGTAATCCCAGCACTTCGGGAGACCAAGGCAGGGGGATCACCTGAGGTCAGCAGTTAGAGACCAGCCCGGCCAACATTGTGAAACCTCATCTCTACTAAAAATGCAAAAATTAGCCAGGCATGGTGGCACGTGCCTGTAATCCCAGCTACTGGGGAGGCTGAGGCAGGAGAACCGTTTAAACTTGGGAGGCAGAGGTTGCAGAGAGCTGAGATCATGCCACTGCACTCCAGCGTGTGTGACAGAGCTAGACTCCATCTCAAAAAAAAAAAAAAAAAAAATTGAGGAATGAGTCTTTACTTGGGGCCAAACGTGGTGGCTTAAGCCTGTTATCCCAGCACTTGGGGAGGCCAAGGCAGGAGAATCACTTGAGCCTAGAAGTTTAAGACCAGGCTGGGCAACATAGGGAGACCCCTTATCTAAAAAAATTTAAAAATTAGCTACTCGGGAGGCTGAAGTGGGAGGATTACTTGAGCCTAGGAGATCAAGACTGCAGTGAACCACAATTGTGGTTGAGCACTCCAGCTTGGGTGACAGAGTAAGACCCTGTCTCAAAAAATAAATATATACAAGAAAATAGGCCAGGCACAGTGCCAGCACATTGGGAGGCCAAGGTGGGCAGATTACGAGGTCAGGAGTTTGAGACCAGCCTGGCCAACATAGTGAAACTCCATCTCTAAATACAAAAAATTAGCTCTGTGTGATGGCAGGTGCCTGTAGTCCCAGCTACTCGGGAGGCTGAGGCAGGAGAATCGCTTGAACCTGGGAGGCAGAGGTTACAGTGAGCCAAGATTGCATCAATGCACTCCATCCTGGGTGACAGTGCAAGACTCCGACTTGAAAAGAAAGAAGAGAGAGACTTTGGCTTTGCCTTATCTGTGCTATCTACCTAATATGGGTGTGTTTGTATCTGGGAATAAAATATCGTTTAAAGTTGTTCTCAGATGTAACTTCCTGATAAATGGCACACAATTCCCAAATCTTCATCCAGTAATGTCTGTTTTTGTCCTGGTACTGGGCAGTTCCTAAGCAGTAAATGGCACTCATTTGAGCAAGGAAATTTCCTTACCTTAGAAATAATCTGCCGGGCGTGGTGGCTCAAGCCTGTAATCCCAGCACTTTGGGAGGCCGAGGCGGGTGGATCACGAGGTCAAGAGATCGAGACCATCCTGGTCAACATGGTGAAACCCCGTCTCTACTAAAAATACAAAAAATTAGCTGGGCATGGTGGCGCGTGCCTGTAATCCCAGCTACTCAGGAGGCTGAGGCAGGAGAATTGCCTGAACCCAGGAGGCGGAGGTTGCGGTGAGCCGAGATCGCGCCATTGCACTCCAGCCTGGGTAACAAGAGCAAAACTCCGTCTCAAAAAAAAAAAAAAGAAATAATCTATGATGTGTATATCTAGCTAGGACCAAAATAGAAAGAGCTTCTGAATGAAAAATCTTCCAGATTACAAAATTACCCATGTTTTATTTTTTATTTTATTTTTTAATGTTTTTGAGGTAGAGTCTTGCTGTGTTGCCCAGGCTGAAGTGCAGTGCAATGCAATCTCAGCTCATTGCAACCTCCATCTCCCAGGTTGAAGCAATTCTGTGTCTCAGCCTCCTGAGTAGCTGGTATTACAGGAGCATACTACCATACCCTGCTAATTTTTGAATTTTTAGTAGAGACAGGGTTTCACCATGTTGGCCAGGCTGGTCTCAAACTTTTGGCCTCAAGTGATCTGCCCACCCAAAATTACCTATGTTAATCATAGAGGTGGGGGCACAAAGGAATATGGAAATGGTAAGTAAATCACACTTTCATTAAAAATGAAGTCAGACACTTTATTCAGGCCTAACCATTACTCCTGATACGTGGGGTTAGAGAATGAAAGGCTCTTTTCTCCCTCTAGTGGCTTCTTTTTCTGTATTTCTACCTTCCCAGCTTGCTGTATTGGTGACCAGCAATCTAGACAAATTTAATAGTTCACAAGATAGTCGTTCAGATCTTTCTATCCTCCTATTTCCTCACCTAAATTGAGTTGATTTTAGCAACTCAGCTTTAACCTGTTGAGAAACTGAATGCTTATTCCAGTGATCAAGGGTGCCCTGTTCAAAAGGCATCCATGTCCCAGCCAGGCATGGTGTCTAACACCTGTAATCCCAACATTTTGGGTGGCTAAGGCAGCAGGATCACTTTAACATGGGAGTTCAATACCAGCCTGGGCAGCAGAGCAAGACTCCCACCTCTACAAAAAAATTCAAAAATTTAGCCAGGCACAGTGGTGTGCACCTGTAATCCCAGCTAGCAACTCAAGAGGCTGAGGCGGGAGGATCTCTTGGGGCCAAGAGTTTGAGCATGCAGCGAGTACCACTACACTCTAGCCTGGGCAACAGAGTGAGACCCTGTCTCAAAAAAAACCCAGCATCCATGTGCCAGTAGCAACTGAGACAACAAACCCTGTTAAGTAGACAGCTAGTGATCTGTGATCATTAAGTTGATTGTTAGAGGCCACGGTGGGAGGGTCACTTGAGACCAACTTGGACAATGTAGTAAGAGCCTGTCTCTACAAAAAATACAAAAATCAACCAGGCATGGTGGCACATGCGTATAGTCCTGGTTACTCAGGAGGCTGAGGTGGGAGGATCACTTGAGCCCAGCAGGTCAAGGCTGCAGTGAGTCGTGATTGGGCCACTGGACTCCAGCCTGGGTGACAGAGTGAGACCCTGTCTCAAAAGGGAAAGAAAAAAAAAAGCTGGGTGTGGTGGTTCATGTCTGTAATCCCAGCACTTTTGGAAGGCCAAGGCAGGTAGATCACCTGAGGTCAGGAGTTTGCAACTAGCCTGGCCAACATGGTAAAACCCCGTCTCTACTAAAAGTACAAAAATTAGCTGGACATAGTGGTGTACGCCTGTAATCTCAGCTACTCGGTGGGGCTGAGGCAGGAGAATCACTTGAATCCGGGAGGCAGAGGTTGCAGTGAGCCGAGATCATGCTGCTGCACTCCAGTCTGACAACAGAGTGAGACTCCGTCTCAACAAAAAAAAGGTGGGGGGAACTATTAATGATTTGATGATTTGAGGGAATGAATAGTGGCAAGCATAATGTCTGCAGCCTTATAGAAAAGGATTAAACCTCCAGAATCAAATATATTGAACTTGCATCTACTTACCAGAGTTTTATCCAGCATCTTAACTCAAAAAGAGTCTAGAGGCCAGGCTCAGTGCCTCACTCCTGTAATCCCAGCATTTTGGGAGGCCGAGACAGGTGGATCACGAGGTCAAGAGATTGAGACTATCCTGGCCAACATGGTGAAACCCCATCTCTACTAAAAATAAAATTAGCTGGGTGTGGTGGTGGGAGCCTGCAGTCCCAGCTACTTGGGAGGCTGAGGCAGGAGAATTGCTTGAACCTGGGAGGCGGAGGTTGTAATGAGCTGAGGTCACACCACTGCATTCTAGCCTGGCAACAGAGTGAGACTCTGTCTCAAAAAGAAAAAAAAAAAGAGTCTAGAAATTACTTTGAAATCTGAATCTCCCACATTAGCTTCTCTTACTCCTAATCCTATTTACTAGATAACTCTTACTTAGGTCATTCTAGGGTTAGCCTTAAAAGCATCATGCTTATTTTTATAAGATGATTTTTAAAATGGCATATACTGCTTAAGACCTAGGTAACAAGAATCCCAGAATCGCTAATTGCCTCAGGTTCCCAAATCAATGGGTGTATCTTCTAATTCTCCTGTGATTTCAGAGGTACATTCCCAGATCCTACTTTCCTTGAGATTGTCAGTGTAGTAGTTGGGAGTATATAGGTTGAGGGCAATTGTTCTTTGGTCTTTTTTTGAGATGAAGTCTTGCTCTTGTTCCCCAGGCTGGAGTGCAATGGCACGATCTCAGCTCACTGCAGTCTCCACCTCTCCGGTTCAAGCAATTCTCCTGCCTCAGCCTCGCGAGTAGCTGGGATTACAGGCACTTGCCACCATGCCCAGCTAATTTTTGTACTTTTAGTAAAGACAGGGTTTCACCATGTTGCCCAGGCTTATCTTGAACTCCTGACCTTGTCATCCACCTGCCTCAGCCTCTCAAAGTGCTGGGATTACAGGCGTGAGCCATTGCGCCTGGCCAGGATAGACTATTATAGGAGGTGTCACATAGCCATGTTATGATAATGAGCTGCCTCCTTAGCAGTGCATCATGTGTATCCAGAGTGGCAGTTAGGCTCTGCTGCCTTTTCCTTCTTTTCTAGAACTAGCCATTTTCTTCTTGAGCCTCTACATAACTAACAACAGCCCAATGGAGGGTGAGATATGGGGAAACATTTATAATTTTCATTAAAAATCTGTGTGATAAGAACACTGATCTTATTCCTATTCTAAAACCAGTCATTGTCTTTGTATCTTTGTCCCTGCATCCTCTGTAAGGAATTTAGATGGGGGAACTATTTTGCGTTTACATCTTGATGTCTTTACCCTAGGATTTGAGTGTCTCTGTTTTTCTCTGGGTGAGTGGGACAAATCTAAGTTCCCTTGGATTTTTTTGTTCAGCATAGAGAAAAAGTTTTCTTAACTTTTTTTGTGGACTTTTACTGTTGGAAATAGCTGTTTTTTCCTTTTTTTTTCTAGTGAGCCAGAGCGAGGAAGGCTAACTCCCTCACCAGACATCATTGTTTTGTCTGACAATGAGGCTTCCAGTCCCCGTTCCAGTTCCAGAATGGAAGAAAGACTAAAAGCAGCCAACCTAGAGATGTTTAAGGTAAAAAGAAAGAAAAATTTATTTGTTCATGTTATGCTGCTTCTATTTTATTTAATTTCTCAAGAGTCTTAGTTCTGTTTTTTTACTATTTACTCTTTGGATATAAATAACTACTCATTAATGAAAACTATGTGACTCTGGACTTCAGGGGCTTTTAAAAGGAACCATTAGAATCAAGTGGAAACCATAGTTTGAAGAGCATATACATAGGCCATTATATTCAATGCAATTTATCTTTGGAAAATGAAAACAAAAGTTCATAATTCAAGTCATATAAACTCTTGGCTGGAAGGATGTCTTCTGCACTCTAACCTAAGTACCAGAATATGAAGGGATTCCCAAGTTTTTATGTATAACTAGAGGAAATGTAGCTTTAAGAGATTTAGTAACATTATTTTGAAAGAAGACAATGTTTCTCTTTAGTTATTCTTTTTGCCAAGAATCTGGATGATTAGCTTTATATGTGGCCTCTCCTTTAATTCTCTAAGCATTTTTTTGAGTACCCACTGAATGCCAGGCACTGTGGCAGACCCCAGAGATGCAAAGATAATCCTGTTACCACTTCTGCTTCTTGTGGAAGATAAAGGTTTCAGAGCTAAGAAGTAAAGATTGTCTCTTAATGGATAAGTACAGACTGACTAGAAAGTTAAAAAAAACAAAAAGTAAAGATTGTCTCTTGCAGGAAGGAATTCTGGGTACCTCCTGCCATAGCTGACAGTCTCCTTGTTTCCTTAGGGAAAAGGGATTGAGGAACGGCAGCAACTTATCAAGCAGTTGAGGGATGAGCTGCGATTGGAAGAAGCCCGACTGGTCCTGTTAAAGAAACTGAGACAGAGTCAGCTACAGAAAGAGAATGTGGTCCAGAAGGTAATGTGCCCTAGAAATAAGGGACTAAGGGAAAGGAAAGAAAAATGGGTTTGAGAGTAGGCTACCCCAGGTAGGTTCAGTTGGGTGGCTCATTCTTCTCTGGGTCCATAGTTTTTTAGTCTGTAGTAGTAAGGTTTTTTTTTTTAAGTCTTAGGCCTTAAGAAAACCTTGACTCCCTTTTTCTGGTTTTTCCTCCTAGTTGACAAGAACCTCACACTGACAAGGAATTTTTAAAGTCTAGAAATGTACCAGATTTCCACCTCTGATTATTGGCCTTTTCCAGTCTCATTTTCTCTTCCCTCTCCCAGACTCCAGTTGTACAGAATGCAGCATCTATTGTTCAACCATCTCCTGCCCATGTGGGACAGCAGGGCCTGTCTAAGCTTCCCTCCCGGCCTGGGGCCCAAGGGGTTGAACCTCAAAATTTGAGAACATTACAGGTATGTGACCCATAATGGGATCTTAGTGTTGGAGGGCCCTCTGTCTAATCCTGTCTCTGTTTTTGGGCTTTTGTGAAGATTATAGAAGAACCTGGCCATGACAGAGGTGTTAATTACTACTACAGATTGTTTTGTTGGTCCATTATGGCATGATTTAGTCTTCAGTAGAAGGATGAGTAACTTTCATCTTTCCACTCTAGTTTTTCTTCTCTAGAGAATGCTTCCAGCTTCTCTAGGGAAGGGGTAGATAATTTTCTATCTAACCCTATAGGATTAGTTTGTACCAAAGAAAGCCAAGGACTTCCCAACCACTAATCAGGTTTACAATGATGGTAGATTTACCCCATAGACTATTAACTGAAATTACCAAGTCTGGCTGTGTTCCTGTGTTTCTACTCAGCTATGAATTATAGGCAGTGTTTTCCCTTTTGTGTAATGTTATACCACCTGTGATTAGTTCTTTTCCTTTTCTTCCCCTCCAGGGTCACAGTGTCATTCGTTCAGCTACCAATACTACCCTTCCACACATGCTGATGTCTCAACGTGTTATTGCACCAAACCCAGCCCAGCTACAAGGTCAGCGGGGCCCACCTAAGCCTGGCCTTGTACGTACCACAACACCCAACATGAATCCTGCCATCAATTACCAACCGGTAAGAGAGAGCCAAGCCCTAATGTGGAAACAGTGAAATCCTTTATTTGCTTTGCTTGTTGAAAGGGCCATAGGTTTTAAGTTTTTATACATAGATAAACTCTAGGACAAAAATGGTTATTTAGGTAGGGATTGAATTGAGAGCGGTCCCCAAAGTAGAAGCTTTGAGGAATTATATTCAAATAGTAGTAGAGGAGAGAGGGCTATACAGCAGAGCAGCAGTGAGCTAAAAATCTGCCCAGAAGAGAGTGATTTAAAGAATAAGAAGCACAAGAATGTGTGACAGAAAGCAAAATCTTTATTTCTCTCTCCTTTTTTTTTTTTTTGAGGCAGAGTCTTGCTCTGTTGCCCTGGCTGGAGTGCAGTGGCACAGTCTTGGCTCACTGCAATCTCTGCCTCCTGGGTTCAGGGAATTTCCAGCTAATTTTTATATTTTTAATAGAGACGGGGCTTCATCATGTTGACCAGGCTGGTCTCAAACTCCTGACCTCAAGTAATTTGTCCGCCTCTGTCTCCCAAAGTCCTAAGATTACAGGCGTGAGCCACCACGCTTGGCCTTTATTTCTTTCTTAGCAATTTTAGCTCATAGTCATCATCATTTTTCTTTCCTATGTGTCAGAGCTCTTTCTCAGTGAATAAGTTGACCACCTCCTATTTTGGAGAAGCTAAGTAGTCCAAACCAGGATCAGACAGTGTCCTCTGCCAAGAACATAAGAATTGATCCTTTCTCCTACATACCATGATTGACCCCATTCTCAATCTATTTCAGCAGTCAAGTTCTTCTGTTCCCTGTCAGCGTACAACATCCTCTGCCATCTATATGAACCTTGCCTCTCATATCCAGCCAGGGACAGTGAACAGAGTGTCCTCGCCACTTCCTAGCCCCAGCGCTATGACTGACGCTGCCAACTCACAGGCTGCAGCCAAATTGGCTCTTCGCAAACAACTGGAAAAGACACTCCTGGAGATCCCACCCCCTAAACCTCCTGCTCCTTTACTTCACTTCCTGCCTAGTGCAGCCAATAGCGAGTTCATCTACATGGTAGGCTTGGAAGAAGTCGTACAGAGTGTCATTGACAGCCAAGGTAAGGCTATTTCTTCTAGTCAATCTCTTTATTTAAGCAAGTGTTTGCCAAGCCTGACTGACATAGGCAGAGTATCAGAGGGTGCTGTACAATATTAAATAGCCTCTCCTTCCTGCTTCCTGTTATCAAACCACCTCCCCTCCCTTCTTTATAGGCTGTTTCAGAGCAACATGTTAGGAGTGCGTGTGCGTGTGCGTGTGTGCTTGTGTGCGTGTGTGTATCTATCTATCTTTTCTTGTTTTTTGTTTAAGACGGAGTCTCGCTCTGTCACCCAGGCTAGAGTGCAGTGGCTAGAGTACAGTGGCACAATCTCAGTTCACTGCAACCTCTGCCTCCTGAGTTCAAGCAATTCTCCTGCCTTAGCCTTCCATGTAGCTGGGACTACAGGCATGTACCACCACACCTGGCTAATTTTTGTATTTTTAGTAGAGACGGGGTTTCATCATGATGGCCATGCTGGTCTCGAACTCCTGACGTCAGGTGATCTGCTCACCTCGGACTCCCAAGGTTCTAGGATTATAGGCATAAGCCACTGTTCTTATCTATCTATCTATCTTCAGCTTGTTTTTTTCTTTTTGGCAGGTCAGCTATCATTGAAGCTTAATATTTTTATTTGTATTTATCTATCTTGTATGTTTTTTGTAGGGCAGTGAGTCCTCACCACCATCATCAATAGTTTCTTAGAAACTGTGACTTTAAGCGAAACAACTATGGTGGCAGGGGGGATCCTCAAGTAACATTTTATTATAACATTGATGAGAAAAAAAGATTGATCATGTTGTATGTTGTTTCACTGAAATCACAGTCTCTAAGAACCTGTCAATAACACTGAAGACTGACTGTACTTTGTTTAGTTCTTTTAAATGGTGGCATGATGCTACATAATTTGATAAATAGAACTTCTTTTTCTTTTCTTTTTTTTTTTTTTT